CCCTGCCCAAGCCCCAGTGTGACTGGGAGCTGGCCTTGGGTTTGTGCTGGTCCCAGGCAGCTGCGGGCAGCGCTGGTCTCCTGCTAAGGATTCTAGTACATCCGCCAAGCCTGTGCCATGACTGCCGAGAGCGGGCGCCCTGCTCAGCTTTGAAAGTTACGAATTTTTCCAAAAGAAAAGAAAGAGAAGGCTCAGCCTAACTTTTGAGTGACGAGGAAGACAAACGTCCTGACTCATGTGGGCAAGTCGAATGTGAATCGCAAATATGAAGGTGGCTCTAAAGCTGCTTGGAGTTACACCACCAACCACCTTCTCTCCCCCACCTTCTCCCTCCCAATAAATGTGATAGGTCTCTGTTGAGTGAGTTTTCCCTCGCCAATTCGGCTTTTTTGTGGGTTCTTTGGGTGACCCCAGCCCCTTTCCCTTGCGGGTAACCCATTGCTGTGAGGGCGCCAGGCCCACCGGCCTTGGGACCAACCTCGAAAACCCTGAGTCTATCGAGGATGCTCCCGCTAATACTGAAACACACCACGCCGACTTTTCACGCCAAACGCAAAGCTCTAAAAACCCCAGGTAACCCGCAAAGGCGCAGCAGGCCAGTGATTTCGACTACCCCACCCCTTGTGGGTTGCCCCAACCTGTGAGCGCAATCCCGAGGTCAGTCCGGGTGGACTGAATATCATATTTTGCAAATGGAGAAAAAAAAAAGGTCGAGGAAAGGCATAACAAGACGATGTCTAAGACTCTCAATTGTTTTTACAGGGAATGGCTGGAAATAGTTAAGGTAAACGAATTGCTAATAAATCTCCAGATGATAAAGGCATCCTTTAGTTTTTAAATTAGCAAACTGCAGGAGACTTTTGTTGTGGGATGTTGAAGGGTAGGGGTTTGTTTGTGTTTGTTTTCTGTCGGTTATCACCAGGTAAAATCTACTATAAATCCTAAGGCGAAGGAACGGACAGTGACAGTTAATTTGTATTTCAACCTTGCAAATACCTAATTAATAGAGTATTATTTTCAACAAAGCCTTGGAACTAATTTTGTAATTGTGCCTTTTTAATTTCACTGTTTGGAGTGCATGTGTTTGCATGTTTAAACACTGTGTAAAAGAGTGGATTTGGAATGGAATGGGGGGGAAAGAAGAGCGAGCCCAGATCTCAGTAATGCAAGGCATCTTCTAGAACTGTGTGGTTCCTAGGTGTGACGAAAGGAACACAAATACTACAAAAAATAATTTCTACACATTCTGGCCTAATGAAGAAAACATTGCAATACAACATTTTCTCCTAGAACAAAACAATTCGTTTTTCTTTCAAGCATTTTGTTTATCATCTGAACGGAAAAAAAGAGCGCGATTAACTTCATAAATAAAGATCTATGCCTTTACACACTTCTGTTTTGATAGAATGCATTAACTTACCATAACGTTTATAGTTTTAGCAGTGGCATAGTCCAAATTTTTCTGAAATCCTGACTGAGCCAAAATTTTATCCCTAACAACACGACTGCAGGATTTAATAGTGCACATTGTTTCTTTTTAAAAATAAATTTACCCTAATTTGGAACTTAAAATAATATTGTAAATATTTTTAATCAAAACCTTCCTTCACCACCACTCCAGCTTTACGAGATCACAAAGTGGAGCGAGGGCGCTCTCTAGTGGCCAAATACCACCTCGAGCCGAGCTTAACTTCTCTTTATTAGACTCAAACCAATTTCAATCTAGTTCTTCAGTTTGGGACTTGAATCGCTGAGGCTGATAATGCTTCATCCCTTTGATTGTCAACAAATCAAGCGCAGCAAACAGCGGCTCCTAAATGCCAAGTATTTCTGTGCTCCCAGGAACTTCCAGTAGTGTCTTTCAAAAGTTTTCAAGCCTTCTTTGCCAGACACAGTAGGTTCTTATTATGTAATCACTTACAATTATAGGATGGACTAGATTTAACAAAAAATTGCAACGTTCTAACTATCAACTGCAACAGGATTTTTTTTTTCAGAGAAGCCAGGAACTTCAAAAACTAAAAATGTACAAGTTAATTTAGTAATCTTTTCTTTTAAAGTGGTTTCTCTTAGCATTAAATCATGAGTATTTGCTGCTTTAATTTTGTAATTTTAATACTTCAGGTCCATTTTGCTGGGCAATGGGGTGGAGAAACCAAATTAAAAACTTTTTGCTAGATCTCTCAGTGGTTGTCTGGAAAAGCCTTATTGGGCCCGTGTTCACGGGAACGTGTATAGACAATAAATGAGATTTTAAATGTGTACCAAAAGTCACAGAATGAAATGAATTGACTAAGCATTCCACTTGAAAATTTTAAAGAAGTAAAGAATTTAATCAGCTTAGGTGTTTCCTGCAAGATTCATCTTTTTTCTCATTTTTCAAAAACCCTTTCCTCCAACTCAACAGCAACTATTATTTTCTATAAGCAAATAGATATAATTTCCAACAATATTTCCACTGTGAAATTTGGAGTGGAGGGCCAGATATTTTTGTAAAAAGGCATTTAAGTAACTCCATTTTTCCTCAAGCACCATTTGGCTGGGGGACCCTCAGCCTGAGTAAATGACCCAAGATCACTAATTCTCCCACCTCCGAATAAAAGGCCGCTTTTAAAACAAACAAAAAGAACAAGCTAGACCTGGACCATAGTCAAATATTATAAAGAACCACCCACCGTAGGCTAATTCTAATACCCAGACCATTTAAAAAATCAGAAATACATCATCTCCTCTTTCCTATCCACACACCCCCATTTTTATTTCCTAGGTGCTCAGAACCTAACCAGGCGCTCCCAAAGCCCTGCCTTGTTGGTCCAACGCAGTCTTGTTTATATTTTATTGTCCAGATTTTAAGACCCAGTTTTTGTCTGCATTTTTCCTTTTCTCCTACAAACACAAACATCAAAATGAGACGGTTTCAAAGCGAAGCGCCGGGCCTATCGTAAACCCATTACCTCCAGACGTCTCGCCGGCTGGATGGCTTTATGACACCTTGGCTCTTCCTGTTTTCAAAGAG